ATTATATTGTATTTAGTAATAAAGAAATAATTATTTTTAATAAAATTTATTTTCGTTTTGTTTTTGCCCGTATAAAATTTCTCCAGACATGGCAAGCAAATAGATATTGCATTTTGCTAAAACGCAGCTATTTGCAAACAATAATATGTAATAATTCTTTATTGATGTTCTCTGATCGAAGATTAAAAGTTTTAATAAAACTATTTTTCTTTAACAAATAATTAGTATAAACTAAAGAAGTTGTTTTAGATGTACTGATATCAATTATTTATTATTATATAAAACTATAGAGATGAGATCTGGTTGCAAATGTTTCTGCATATAGAAAAAAAAAATATATTTTGAGGATAAGAAGCACATATTTGTAGAGTAAGTCAAAACATTCTTTGAAACAGAAAGAGATTTAGAACATAAATAGACATAAATTAGAGAAACACATTTAAAGATGTACACATTTAGAGATATTTAAGATTTACACATTTTAGAGAACACCAGTTAAAATTTTTACACACTATTTAAAGACAGATAAATACACATTAAGAAATAAGAAAGAAAGTAAGAAATTGGAACATCACAAAAAGAATGGGCTAATGTTTTGAATGACATCATTGAAAATGGGAACATCTGGGAACAAATGGGATTTTAGTTTTTGCTACAATTGCGTACTTTGATTGAGATTCCGATGAAGCAGGCTGCCGAGATATTTGGTGGTGTCAGATTCTTCGATGTCAACATTCCAAAGGTCATAGTGATGAAGATATACTTAAGCGGAATCATTATGTAAGCTTTTTCTTTGGCAATGTTAGACACCTTAATTGTTACACGGATGCTGTTTCTACCTGCATTTTCAAGTTGCAATAAACACGGGTAGAGAAATAAAATTGCAACGGTCGTTCGCCATAAACCAGGCTCATAATGTTTTCGAAGAATTTGCATGATCACTCTCATAAACGTTCATTTTTACATGCTACCAACTTGAAAACATATTTTTTTTGTTGATATTCATGCCCTTTGGTTGGTCAACTTAGAGGATAAATACAACTGAACTTCAATACTTTTCCTCATTCTACTTTAGTTTGTTGTAACTGTTGGTCATACATTCACATTTTTGGTCAACCTATCCTCTGTCCATCTGAACTTCAATACTTTTCCTCAGTCTACTTTCGTTTGTTGTAACTGTCGGTCATACATTCACTTTTGTATCATGTTCAGCGAGGAGTGTTTTCTTCCGTCGAGGGCGAAGTTGAGCAACATGGTGAAGCTGGAGGTCCTTGGTGAGGGGTCCTTCGGCGTAGTGTATAAGGCGAGAAACGTTCTGACCGGAGAGATCGTTGCCATAAAACAGATCAAAAAGTTTGGTCAAAATGATCCTAGGGTATCGGTGACGACGATGAGAGAAATCTGTGCTCTGAAGAGTCTCAGACATGAGAACATTATACAACTGAAGGATGTCCTCTGCGCCGGATACCGATCGCTATTCATGATTTTCGAATACTTCGGTATTGATTTAAAATTATATTTAGCTAGGATCCCCTGCAAACCAGACGAGATGTTGGTGAAGAGCTACACCAAGCAGTTGATGGAAGCGTTAGCCTACATCCATTCCAAGAGTGTTATGCATAGAGATGTAAAGCCAGATAACATTCTGGTGGATAGTGAAGGCAATCTCAAGTTGGCAGATTTTGGTCTGTGCCGCCAATTTGCAATGCAGATGGAGAAGAATTACACGAACAAAATCGTGACTCTCTGGTACAGAGCACCAGAAATCCTCTTTGCTTCGCCGATGTATGGACCGAAAGTAGATATGTGGGGTGCAGGATGCGTGATGGCCGAGATTATAAACCGCCACTCTTTGTTCCGTGGTGTTTCAGAGATCGAACTAATTAATAAGATATGCATGGTGCTAGGATTACCTAAAGAAGGTAATCCCATTCTGGGATGCTACGATCATATCAATTTTAATACAGTACAATTCGAGGTATATGAGAAAGCCAAAGGTATTGCCGGACATATAGACTATCATAGTCAGGAGCAATTAGCGTTTCTGGAGAGCATCATAATTTTCAACCCGCTTATGAGGAAGAGTGCATTGCAATGCCTCAGGATGGATTACCTTAAGAACGTGGAGAAGGTTTTGCCAGTGCAAGGGTGTTTCAATCAGACCTGAGCTACAAGACGCAAAGGATAGAAGAGAAGAATTTGTATTATTTTTTTAGTCCATTTTCACATATTTTAGTTAGCAAATTATGTTTTTAATGACAACATGTACATACTGTATTATATACTGTATTATATATATATATTGAATAAACAATATTTTTAATGAATTTTACTTACGTTTTGTTTTGTCCGACAAATGTAACAAATGTTACGACTTTGTGAGAATCTCTACAGAATTAACAAGTAAATTTGCTAAAGCGTAACTTTT